CCAAAACCCCAAAACCCCAAAACCCCAAAACCCCAAAACCCCAAAACCCCAAGAATAAGAAATAGGTTAAATTTAATTGTATAATACTTCTAAGTTAATTCTAATATTTCAGTTTATTAATATCTGTTAAGGTTAGTGATTTTGATTCTACTATTGTTGCATCTGAGATATTTGATTATGATTATTCAAGGGTTTAAGTTGCTGCTTGTTGGCAGCTGGTGTCCTAAGTCCACTGCTGCAGCTCTCATCAACATTAATGTTGGAGATAATGGCTGGATTCTGAAGCATTGCATTTGCATTGATATTGCTTGGCAGCAACATACCTCCGTAGTTCTTCTTTTTATGTGAATTTGCAAGGTTCAGTTGAGACTTCAGGTGGCTTATATTTGATCTCTATACTTCTTGCACTCCATTAGTTGACTGACTGTTATTGACTAAGTTCTAGTTGGTACTGTTAGTTATGTTGTTATTTGTGCTTGAACTCTAATTCACATTTTAGTTCAAGTAGTTTCTTCGTACATAGTTAATCGCCTTGTCCTTGTTCTCAAAGGTATTTGAAATCAGCACTTACTTTATGCTTTTACTCTATCTAGCTCTGTTTGACTAGTTGTTTGGTGCATTTTGATGGTTTGGCTCATGATTGCTTGACAGAGTAATGTTGGCATTAAGATACTGCTTCTTCTTATTTATAGTTTGAGAGATAGTATTCTACTTCGAATCTTTGATGTATTCTCCAGATTCTCTGACCTTGTTAACTATATTGGAAAGATTGTTGCTAGAGTTACGATTTAGGAGTACTGGCGAAAGTTGTTTTTTATTTACTTTCTTAAGGTCTACATTATGTATCCTACTGTATGGTTTGACAGTAATCTTCTCAGCTGCTTTGGTTTCTACTATAGGCTAGAATTTAGCAGTCTGGGAGCTTTACAGTGACTTCTTAGAGTTTTCTTCATCATTGGTGGATGAATCATTAACCATCACTCTTCTTTGAGTTACACCAATGACCTTGGTTGCAGAAGCTTAGTCCTAGATTTTGCCATGCATCTAAGAATGAGAAACTCCTTTTCTGGGGGAGTCCAGTTCCTCTTCGTTTGGGATATCGACATCAGCGTCTACATTCTCTTCATCATCCTCTTGCTTGTCCACATCGTATTCCTCCATCATGTTAAAATCTTCGTGATTATCATTTCTATCTATAATTGATCTCTTCAAGCTGTTGGACTAAAGACAACTACCCTCACTTGAAACATCCTCTCTGAATGGATCTTCGTCATTTTCAAAGTGATCATCGTTATAGTGTGAAGAGTTACCATCACTGTGATATGGATTTTCCTAAACAATCTGTTCAAGATCATCATTAACCTAGTTATGAATGCTTCTCGCAAAATCACCATCAGTTTCCTCTCTTTAACCAAGATTTTCTTCATCTCCACTAACATAATTTTAGGAGTCCTCAGAGATGCAGTCATTATTTTATAAGTATAAGACCTAAGATGGTCTCTTTTAATGATTCTTTGAAGGGGGGCCGAATTCCTGGTCCTTAAAGACTTGATTGGCATCAGTGTTTATTGTATAGTCATATTTGTTATTTTCAGTGTAATGATATTAGTCATTTTAAGTGTAGTTGTACTGCCTCAAGTTTCCTTCAGTGGCTTGGTAATTATCCTCATGAGTAAATTGTTGATTCTGATCATAGTAGTCATTTTGAGATTGGTGGTTGTTCAAATGCATGCCTACGTAATGGTTTTAATTCAGAGGGTGCAGAATAGGTGGCAACTCAAAGGTATTTTTATCATGTGTAGAGGACATCTAAGACTTTGGGTCATTATGGCCACCATTAAGAAGACCTGCTCCAGTGCTGTTATACATCTAGTTATTGAACATCATTTGGTTTTAATGAAGTGATCCTCTGTTTGTTCTCTGCTTATGATTCTGAGCAAAGGAAGCTTGAGAAGATCTATTCATCTTAAAAGGTGGCTCATTAGATTTCATCTGATCATGCTTTCTTGTTGCCTGAGAAGACCTCATAATATCTCTGCCTTGTCTGCTAGGGACATGCCCATGACTCTATGTGATATCTGAGAGTTTATCAAGTTTCTAGAGTTTGTTGCTGGACTTATTAAAGCCCTGATTATATGGAGATTTTATCTTCTTCAGATGATCGTTCTTCATCCTAACTTGCTTAGTTATGTTTTGCTGAATGTTATTGTTTTGATTCAATAGATTCATCATATCTTGATTAAGATGATTTTCTGCAACTGCATAGAGCTACGGCTAATTGCTAGGATTCTTCTAATTCATTATTTGCTACTTTTTCTAAAGAATCTATGGAGATCTAGCCATTTAAGCCAATTTGTTTTAAAAGTTGCCATTCTTGTAAGCAGCTCTGTCTACGCTTTTAGATGAAACTACTACTTGCTTTTTGATTGCTTCTTCAATTCCAAGATACTCTGAGCTCTGAAGATTTTGGTCTTGAGTTTATTCAATATCAAATTTTATCTATGACTGCCTCAAATTGTTTTGGCAGTCATCTCTCATGTTAAGAGACTTGTGTCGCAAGAGGTTTTTCTCATCAATCTACTCAAGTCCTTGTTTGACTGTATGCTTGTATTACTAGAGTCTAGCTCTCACTATCTATTGGTAGTTTTTCTAACTCATATTTCCCTCATTTTAATTTGGCTTTTTTTATGGCATGATTTTATGTACAGTATTTTTAGCATACTTTTACTTTGGCAACAGGTTTTTAATTATTTGATCTCCTACGAAGTTCATATATAGTGAAAAACTATCGGCTCGAGGATTAGTCATATTAGGGTTGCTTACCATCATACCATCCTTGGTTCTTACTGGAAAAGCAATACCACATCCAAAGACTTTAGCCAAAACTTAGCCATCAGCAAGCATAAGTCTACATTTTCCGTCCACATCATACTAAGTATTTTCTACTTTCTAACTTAAGACTAGCTTTTTCCTATCTGTATCTTTAATTATGATCTTATTGGTTTAATAACCACAAGCCCAAATGACAATATCAGCTCTTTCTACATATTCTCTTTGTTCGTCGGGAGTCCTTGCCTATATTAAAGCGACTCTCTTTTCTTGACCTCTTTGAATCTTTAAATACAGCTCCTTGGCATCTCCTCTTAATCCAGTGAAGGAATAGAGATAGCCATCCTTTTTCTTGAACTTATCAGAGGCAAACTCAGTGTAACCATCCTATTCAGCATCTGACACCTTGTTATAAAATACTCTAATATGATCTCTATACAGAATTTCAATAGCGTAATCTTCATAATTTGGTATTAGACCTTCATAGTCAAATTTCCAATCATCATAATTGAAAAAGCCAAAGCAAATACAGACGCATTCACATTTCAGATTAGGACTAGTCTTGTGTTAAGGAGAAAATTACTGATTTCCTCCGTTAATATTGCTCTGCATCTTTTCATTAATCTTTTGCTTTTTCATATTTTGTAGTTACACTCCACATTAACAACAATCTATGCAATTTTTAATGTTTTTTCTTTAAGCATTAGGTTCTTTATCTACATAAATGCCAGCATTATTGTTGAAATAGGCGGCTGGTCCATTCAAAAGCATCCATGCACATGAAAACCCGCTATGAGAACCTCCAATGATAACTATTTTTTTAAGATTTTTTTCTCGGATCATATTCATAGTGTTCTTGTAGACGTATGATCTCAGCAGAGAATCTGAGGCAATTGTCCTTTCTGGGTCCAAATTAGGAAACCAATTAAAGAGCTCTGGATGAATTCCCTGTACTCCACCATTGCCAATTACAAGAGCCTTTGATCTAAAACAGAAGACTTAATCTGTTTCAATGAATCCCATTATTTCTCCAAACTCGTCAACTTCAACTTGCTATCTCTTTACTTTCGTTAGAATCTCCCCATTTTGCATAAGCTAGATGCTGACAGCTTTGTGTAAAGGATAAAATATCTTCTTTTTTGTAGTTTAGTAAATGTAACTCAAGAGATGGTTGCCAGCATAATTTAAGAAATGACCTATTACACCCAATGGAGCAGTGTTCTTTCCAAATTCCTTCAGAGTTTTACCAATGTGGGATGAGTAAAGATCTCTATAAGGTGGAAGTATCTCTACTTCGTCCTTTTTTGGCTTATGGGAGATTAACAAATTCTATGCATATGGATTTGATAAAGCATTTTCTAAGATACCCTACCTCAATGTGGATGCTGCTGAGCTCTATCCATTTCCTCCTGGATAAGTATTCTTTCTTTTCTCATTGGCAGCACCTTACTTTGGACCATTTTCATTATTTGGTCTTTTTTTCTTTTACTTGTTTAGTTTTTCATTCGGATCTTTCTTTTAGAGGGCGGTGTTGGTTGAATCTTTGAATTGAACCTTCTTGTATGAGCATTTGAGAAAGCCTCCCCCACTAGTGTTAGAGTTTATCCCATACTTGGACAGCAGACCTCCACCAAAGTTAAGGCCTGCATCTATGATGGCGATGCCCTCTCCTTGCATTAACTCATTTAATCTATTATAGAATTAATCTTAAAATGATTATGAATACCTGTTTGTTTTTACTGCATTTACCAATATTCCTAGCGCAGCTGGGCCTCCTCCAATGATGAGGACGTCCACAGACTTAGAGCCTATTGGTATTGCCTGATTTTAATGTTAATCCTTGGGGTTATTCTAGATTTCAGCCGGCTGTTTTTAAGCTGGCTGCTGTTGCTGCTATAGCGGTTAGTTAATTTAGTGATTCATTCTTTAATGTTTGAATATAAACAATAATTAAAACTTTTAAATTTTCTTATCTATTTTTCTTAGATCCCATTCTACTCTCTATCTTTAAAAGGTGGGGTTTTGGGGTTTTGGGGTTTTCTTTTGAAGTAGGACATA